CTGTTGCATGACCCAGTGTCGGCCAAGCTTTAGCTGTTGGACAGATGGCCTCCCATTTGACTCTAGAATACTTTGGTATACAGAGGAGTTCACAGTCGACTCAATGACTACAAGGTGCCCAGGTCCTGTGGCTGCAAAACAAGCCCAAATCATCACCCCTCCACCATCATGCTTGATGGCTGGTATGAGATGTTTGTGCTGATATGCTGTGTTTTATTTTCGCCAAATGTGAAACTCAGGAGTTCACAGTCGACTCAATGACTACAAGGTGCCCAGGTCCTGTGGCTGCAAAACAAGCCCAAATCATCACCCCTCCACCATCATGCTTGATGGCTGGTATGAGATGTTTGTGCTGATATGCTGTGTTTTATTTTCGCCAAATGTGAAACTCTGCATTATGGCCAAAACATCTCCACTATGGCCTTGTCTATCCAAAGGACAGTGTTCCAGAAGTCTTGTGATTCGTTCAGGTGCAACTTTGCAAACCTAAGCCGTGCTGCCATGTTCTTTTTCGAGAGAAGAGGCTTTCTCATGGCAACCCTTACTTGTTCATTCTTTTTCTAATTGTACTGTCATGAACTTTAACATTTAACATGCTGAGGCCTGTAGAGTCTGAGATTTGCACAGACCTATGTTGTTTGCCAGTTGCATATTCCTGAACCAGGAGGCCCTTCTCATGATCATTCATACCTTGGTTACCTCAGGTGTGGACTACTGTAATGTGCTCTGCATGGGGCTGTCCTTGAAGACCACTTGGAAACTTAAGCTGATCCAGAAGTGGCAGCAACAAGAGTTATGGGCATGCCACAGAAGGCATGCCAACCCCACTTTGCAAACTGCACTGGTTATCAGTAGGATTACAGGTGCAATTCAAGGTGCTGGCTATCATCTACAAAGCCATATACAGCACAGGGTCTAGTTGTTTTGAGAAACCATTTCTCTCTTGTGGTCTCTACCCACTCTTAAGATTTGACTTGGCATGTTCTGCATCCCATCTGCTGAACATGACCAGTGGGACCCAGGATGTCTTTTCTGTCACAGCTTTGCCTTGGAAATTTGAATGGTCCCAATCCTGCTATCCTTTAATAAGACCTGGCCTTTTCCCCAGGCTTTTAGTATGGGATGTGGGCTGTGAGAGTTTTTATTTCTGGGATGGTCATCTTGCTTTTTTCATTGGCTTGATTTTCTATTTCTTTGATTTTAAATTTGTACATCACCCAGTCATTGAAATTGGGCAGCTTTAGAAATGTGAAATAGTTCAACTTCCAGGTTTCCTCTTATGACTCCCTTTGCTCTTAAAACTCAAGAATTATGAAAAGCTGCTTTTCTAAGGGAAAACTAGCAGTACTTTTGTACTCTTACACTTTTTAGACTACATCAATTTTTAACTAATTCTGTGGCAATGTGACATATGTGGAAGAAACATGCATAGTGGCTAGAGCACTGAGGGTCTTCATTCAGAGATGCTAAGCAAAGTGAAGCCTGTTTGTAACAAAACTACTGTCAATACATTTTAAAGGCATAACTTACAATCTTCTACTTGCTTATTCATATGCGTAGATACTCAAACATATTAAAGTGGGCAAAACAGTGTGAAGAGTGGTTTCAAAACAACCCCAAATCTCATTAACAGAAAAAAGATACAATTTCTACCTCAAATGAGGGCAAGATTTCCTTACAGTACTGCTTCCCTATAAGGAAATTAAAATGAGAAGTACAACACACTAACAGTGTATCTACGGAACACTTTATTTTTTTAAAAAAAAACACAAATTGTTCATTTCTCAAAACAGACTGCATAATTTCAATTATAGAATAAAATTTTGGAGTGGAAGAGTTATATCTGGCTCATCAATGGAGGTGTAGACATTAAAATTAGTAAATGCAACAAAATGTTCACATCAAAATAAAAAGGGGGGGGGGACAGCATTTTTCTAGACACTTTAAATCACCATTTACAGACCAACCTGAGCCAAGGCCAGAACTATTTGGTCATTTTGGACAAGTATTTTTCACATTTTTGTGGAAGGTACTCTAACAGATGTACTGAAGATCATATTTCCCTCTTGCCAGACTCACTGCTGTTTTACTGCATGCTTTTCCTTCTTAATGTTGGATGCCACAACTGGCTTAGTAGTCTGATTAGTCTGCAAAAGCCTGGAAGAAAATTTAAGTTCCATTTCTGAATGTACTTCCTATATCAAAAAATAAAGAAGTTACGCAATTAATAGACTAGGAAAAGAGAATGACAAATTCCATGAAATCTAGTAACCAAAGCATTTCCAGATGTATGTTCTATGCAGATATATGCCACTGTTTTTATTCACTGAAACTGTCACATTTTGCGTATTACAAATGATGAAATTATTAAAAAATAGCTGGCCAACGGTTTATTTAATAGCAGTGCAAAAATATTAAGTCATTTTCTTTTTTCTTTTTTTTCCTGAAACATATAGAGTCCTAGCCACCAATACTAGCTTTACAGCATCTACATAAAGTCTGACAGCACATTTGGTATTTTACATGCTTTATTAAAATTGTATTCATATTTACAGTATCTGCAGGAACCATCCTCCCATTTTTTGCACTCGAGCACCCACACCCATGCATACCCTCATTTCACAATGATATGAGGTTTGGCTCCTCACCTTTAAGGAGCTCCCTGGGGATGGAAAAAGGACTAATTGAGCTTATTTAAAAAGCAAAAGGAGAATGCATTTGGCCATTACACTGTTAAAAGTTTGCATGTGTATGTATATAGACACACATACACATTATTTATTGATGTGTGTGTGTGTGTATGTGTATATACACACAAAACACTGTATGTTTTTATATACAAAATGTCATCAATTGTTCCAGTTAACTGACTGTTCTAGCCAATCTTCGATGCTGCTTTTAGTGACTCATGTTATATTTTGGGTTTTCCTTTAAAACAATTCAAGTCTAAGTGAAATAAGGCACAATTATTTGATTTGATTCAGGGGAAAGACAAGCATAGAAGGCAGGTTTCAGATGATAACTTCTGCAAATAAATTTTCCTCTATCCTTCAGGAGAATCTTATCTGAAACCATGTAATCTGCAGAGATCTGAAGTAGTTTTCTGTCATAGAAACCAATGGCCCACAAACTAGTCTGAGCATTCCCATTTATTATGTTTCAGCCACTATGTTAACTATGGATTCCTTAAAAGAACAAGGTTTTCCATTTAGCACTCAAAGAGTAGAAATTACACGTGAAACATGTAAGCCGGTAAATAACAAACTTCAAAGGCTTCAACATGCTGCAAGAAATTGCTTTCTTTGCATTTTAAATCCCTGGCCCCCATTTCATTAATGAAGCCTTTCCAGACATAGATATACTGCAACAACAACAAAAAAAAAAAAAAAGGAAAAAGGAAAAAGAATAAATGTTTGGCAGCACAAAGAATGCCTAGTAATCAAATCAAATCTTCATCAGGAAAGGATCATATACAAAACGTATTGAATTATTTTCTGTAGCAGTTGAATTGTACCCAAAGGGCATTCTTTGATGGGGAATAAAAGATTGCAGTTCCAAAGGCCCCTGACTTTGGTGATTTACAAAGTTCAATCTTGTTTAGTGTGATCCTTGGTATCTTCTTCATCTGTATATTCTGATGGTTCCTCTCCTGGCTTTAGAAGTCTACCTACATAGTCATATTTTTCTGGAAAAGACATATATGAATTACAAATACAATAAATTACAAAAAAGTGTATTACAGTACATATATTTAAAAACAAGCTTATATCACATTAGTCTTATTAAGTAAGTTTACTGTTTTGAAGCCAAAAATTCCCATCAAACATACTGATATCATAAATATGCAAGTTAATTTCCTGGCCGTTTTGTTACTGTTTTCTTGAAATAATGCATCTCTTCTTATATTGCAAAGGCACTCTTAAAATGAAAAAGGCATATGTTCCCAAGACATGTGATCTTCATATCTTTTGTCACCATAAAGAAAATGTTACATGTTCACCTTTAATAACCCCACACGAGAAGCAATACTGGGATTTAAGGTGAGCTAGTGGGCCTAGTACAGAAGCTTCCGGCTCCTCTTTAAGGAATAAATTGAGATTGCACAGGCCTCTGAACTAAAGTGACTCAAATACAAAGATAAGAATATACTGCTATCTCTGAAAGCTTTCAAAAAGCAGATCTTTGAGATGTAAGATAACATAATTTGGGAAGTGTCCCACTTCTCTGTTATCACTTTCAAATGGCCACTTTTGTCACTACAAGCTCCAGTGTAGGAACCTCCCAGCTCATGAAAATGAGGGGCAAAGTTCCTAAGGCAAAAAACAAACAAACAAAAAAGATTCCTATCTTACATGCAGCTGTGACAAGCATTTCTGCTACATCTCATTTCCTCTTTTGATGTGTGGGTTTGGGTTTTTTGTACCTGACAATGGAAATCTAGTAAAGTTACCCATTATTTCTTCCCACAATATTCTTAAACTACTCTATTGTATTTTAGAAACAGAAGTCACTACTATTGTACTAAGATGTCTATATGCTATTTGAAAAATACATTTAAAAGCACTAAGAGGTATTTCTATGGCTCATTTTCCATTTGATCAAAAGAAATCTCTCAATTAAAATAATTACCTTTAAACTGCATTTCCCATTCCCTAACACTTTCCATTTGCACAGCATTTAAGTCCGATAGATCATCATATTCATCTCTGAGTGCATCTTTATCTAGACAGAAAGTTGCTAGTCCCCTTGAGGCATCTCTGCCAGCAAATATTCCATAAGGGCCTTCTGAAAACAGAAAAAAAAAATACATTTATAAAACTACATGTATTTAATTGTACAATGTTCATTCTTATCTATTCAGAATGACTAAAGCTTTCTTTACAATAATTAAGTTTGAACAATCAGTCTATTAGATCTAAAGATTTAATCTACTTGAATACTCATATGTTCAATTACTTACTTTAATTCCAGAAAATATTTTTAGAAAGATTGACAAATGTTAACCAAACCATCATTTACTGCAATCATATGAGATGCTGTCAGCTATACACTTCTTTTTCAGGCTTCTAAATATAAAATTCTATTTTACCTGGGCATAATACCACTTAATGGGATTTGGTCAATCTAACAACAAACATGAACTTTCCTCTACAAAATTGATAAAGTAACAGAGTATACATGCTAGCAAAGCAGCTTCATTAACTGATTATATAAAGCAATATCCTACACAGATTTTGCACCAAAATTTTGTTAAAAGATGTTGAATATATTTATATCAATGCATTTAGCATTTTAATTTAGGCACAATCCATAAAAATTGAAATGAGAAATCATATTCCTTGAAAATTTAGGGTGCTTGTCTGTCTTTAAAGAAACTAATGAACTTAGCAGCCCAACTAATATTTATCTGCAATTTGGGGGTTATACAATATGGAATCTCTAAGTACCTACTAAAAAAAATGTACAGAATTTCAGGACATTTGGGAACAAGCTTTATGTTTTTAATGAACAAACTCTGACCGCTTATTATATGCTTATATTTAAACAGGCTACATAGGGTATTAGTGTATCACTGAATTGCAGTAGCTCAGTATTATAGAATGCACTTGGACACTAGGCTGACTAAATAATATATGCATACATGAATGTGTATTTATTTGTAACTTTGAGTCAGTGTTTGCGCCTGGTGACTACCTAGACTAGTCCCTGCAGTTTTCTTGGCAAGATTTTTGGAAGTGATTTGCCATTGCCTTCCTCCTAGGACTGAGAGAGGATGACTGGCACAAGGTCACCCAGTTGGCTTTATGCCTAAGGCAGGACTAGAACTCATGGTCTCCCAGTTTCTAACCTAGTGCCTTAACCACTACACCAAATTGGCTGGCTGGCTGGCTGGCTGATTCATTCATTCATTCGTGTGTACACACAAATGATTTGAACTAAAATGTGAAATGCAAAAAATGTATATCTATTTTCTGAAAATATTTTGTCTATAATATTGAACAGAGTTTGTTTTATAGTGTATTAGCTTCTTTCGAAGAGACCCTTCTGCAAACCTAATGCTAAATGTGTGCTAAACAATCACAGAACAAATAATGTTAGGATTTATGTATCAATAAGGGAGCTAACATTTAACTCTACTAGCTCTTGGTTTAAAAAAAAGCATAACTGGTGAAATATAAAATTAAGATACAGACCCCAGGTGTAAGATGCTCAACGTTGCACATATAGATCATAAAACTTTTCAATGGATGTTCTCAGTTGATAAGGCAATTAAGAGATCTCTTGCAATCCCCAATGATTTTTACACAAGCATAAAGATTGAGATAATCTTATTATCGAGCAATTGCTTCGGGAATTATAAGGTCATTCATGTACAGAAAGCAGAACCATATCCAACCTGTAAATATATATTTGCAACACATAACCAAGTTTTGAAAAATGAATCTCCGAAACATTTGCCCATATTAAAATGCTAGGACTTCAGAAAATACTTGAGTATTTTTTTCTCTCTCTTTTTTTTTGGCATTATGGCCAAGTACTATAGTGATATTTTTTAAGAACACAACACAGCAACATTAGTTTTAGTTTTACACACTTCATTCCCACATTATATTTAAACTTCATACTGAGAAGGAATTCTAGTTTCTGAAAAAGAAAAAAAAAACCTGAGGATGAAATTTTATCCCTACTTCTAGTTCTGCAACATGAACACAATACTCCTATCAATTATTTTTTTAAAAAATCAGCTGTATTTTTGGTACCAACTTTCTAGTACTCCCATCATCTAGCTGAAGTTGCCATTGCCTTGCGAAAAGTTATAGTAAAGTTTAAATTATTGTAAACTATTTCATCTAAATAAATCTGTAACCTAGAGGTTCTCAAACACCCATGGGAGCACAGTTTTTTAAGATAAACAGTCCTGAGCAGGCAAAACTGAAACTGCTCAAATCTGAAGCAAATTTTGAAAGAATGGTTAAACCTGTGGGTATAGCCATCTACCACAACCATCTGCCAGGCCGAACAATTTTATTTATTTTTTTACTTATTTAATACTTTATTTACTATTAGTTTTATTCATGAAGGTGGCCATACAAATTCATTTTAAGGTGTCACAGTATTGCAAAGTTTGAAAATCCTTGCTATAATCTAAAAGAGCAAATATGTTTATTAAAATTGAAAAGCAGTAACCTTGTATGAAAGAAGCTGTAACTGTTTATAATGTCACAGAAATGTGATGTTATCCATATTGTCATTTTCTGAAACTGTTAAATTTTCCAAATCTAGGGGGTAAGTTCGTTACAGAACACACCATGGTAGTTTGGTTAGAGATTAATACAGAATGCAAAATATGCAATGGCCAAAATTTTACAATATAAAAGGTAGACAACATAACAATATCCTGTTTCTTTAATTGTGTGTAAATAGTAGTCTTAAGTCACCCCAATTCAGATCAATACTGCAGGGCTAAGAAGTTTCTTTTCTACCATTTTTCCCCTGAAAAACCTCTCCCACAACTACACAGCTCTTCATTAAGGAAATAATTGGGAGCAAAGGAGAGACACCCATAACTGTCAGACTATCCATACCTTTTTCATTTTTGAAACATACAAAAAAACCTTAGCATCAGAAGGGAATGAAGCATGCTGAAATTCATACAAATTTGTCTCTGTAATTTAAAAAAATCCTTTTTTGACAAGCACATGATGTCCCTCCACCTTCCAACACAGTAAGCTACCAAACTCTGTATCAGAGGCAGAGTTGTCAGAACATTTTGAGTTAGAGACAAAGGACGTTAGGAACTTCTGTCTTGCTTTAACTGATTTACACCTTCCTTAATACTTTATGTCAATGTCAGGTTCAATCTACTGGTTCAAATTCATTCGACAGCCCCTTTTTACAAACAAAAATTATAAACTAATGTTAATTTGGTCCTTAGTCTAAAGAAAATAAACCAACTGACCCACCGCACAACTAGTGTGCTAGCCAATGCTTTTGGAAATACTTATAGCACTTGCCCAACCAGAAACATTAAGGTTTCAGTTGGAGGACTGAACAAAATGTCACATACAAAGCACCCGTGATCCTACTGAATTTTAAACATGTTTGCATTTTAAGGCTTCCTTGATTTCCTTTCAAAACCATGTATTTTACTTTTTGATTCTTGGAAAAAAAAATTCTAAAATTTGGTATGCAAAAACCTCAATTGCATCATAGATTAGGGGAAAAAAATTGAAATGGCCTAGGAACATCTTAGAGGTTCAGCATTCATAAACAAATTTTTTTCCCCTGTATGAAACCTAAATTTTGTGCTCTCCTCAACACTTGGGACCTCAACTTGAATGAACTCACAAAACATAAGAGGAACATGTGAAACTTCCCAAGTGATTAGTTTATTGTTAAAAAAAAAAAAAGAATTCTATGCAATGTGAAATGGTAAAAATCAGAATAAAATATTTATACATTTTTTAAAAATAGCCCTTTCAGCTCAGTCTCATGTGAAGGATTCTTTCTTCTACTTATATCAATGGAACCGAGAAGAAGCTACCTTTGGTTGAATCATATTATATGTCTCTGTACAATGGGTTTACATAGTCTCCAATTATATTGTTTTCAGTGATTATTTGTTATTCTGATATTCAGTTAAGCTGTAGAAGATTAAAAATCTGTTTATAATAACTCACAAGGATTTATAGTCTAACAACAGTTTTACAATGTGTTGACATAAAATAAGAATATAAACCACTTTTCAATAAAAGTGTCAGTATACATTAGCCCAGTGTATGAGAGCATTCTTTTCCTTAGCTTATCTATCAACGCTAAAATTCTATAGGTTTGAATATCATCAGTTAAAATCTGCATGTGGTGACTTTGCCAAAGCAAACATAACTCCTGGCCTTGAAATTGGCATGGCAGAGCTTACAGGATTTTGGAAGGGAATGCCATCTGTGTTGTATTCCTAAACATTAATTGAAAACAAGTTTAGATTTAAGACAGAGAGAACATGGTGCTAAACTCTTCAAAAAACTAGCTTTTAATATTTCACTCCCCTTACAATTCCACTTACAGAAGGAACAGGCAACCTTATTTATTCATTCATTCATTCATCCATCCCTCCCTCCCTCCCAAATTTGGTCACCACCCATCTCACTAGGAAGTGACTCTGGGCAGTAACAGCAAAGATAGCCAATTTTCTTCAGCAGATTCTGAATTTTCATTTTTAAAAAATTGGCTTTTGAGGAACATTTAGGGTAAGGCCAACAAATTGATACAATAATTGGAGTTTTTAGAGTTGCTGTCTCATGGCAGTTCAAGAAACAAGATCAATGCATTAAGGCTCACAGAAGCTTGATGTACTTATTTTGACCCTTACTGTAGTTGAAAAAAAAAATGAAAAATCAGCATGATCTAGAAATTTTCTGAAGACCACAAAATGGATGCTGGAGGGATATATGCAGCTCACAGGCCTTGCACTTCTGTTTTGAAGTGTGCTCTTCTTTTCACAACCACTCCTTTTTGAACCTTTAATCCATTCTTCTAGCATAAGCTGAAGAGATTTTAAAGGTGTATCTTCTTCCATCTTTTCTCAGAAATTTTGGGGGACGCGGTGGCACAGTGGCTTAATGACGCTGGAGTTTGCCGGCCAGAAATGGTCGACTCTCCAATGGTTCAAGCCCAGCTCCGTGTGACGGAAGTGAGCTCCTGTCACTTCATCCCTAGCTCCTGCCCACCTAGCAGTTCGAAAGTATACCATTTACGAGTAGATAAATAGGTACCCCCATTTCGGT